CAATGTGGTATGGACCATTCTGATGAATAAACAAAGATATTACTATTAAAAAATTATTAAATAAAATACTTATTTATGATAGAAATTTAATTTTTTAAATAATATACTAGTTTTAATTATTATATTTTAATAGTTTTTATTTAATATAAAAAATTTAAAAACTGAATTAAGAGTTTTTACTCACATATTTATGTTAGCATATCAAGATAAGTAGATGTATAATTTTTTGGGCCTTCATCATTTGACAACAATGTATATATGATTTTTATAAGAAACCATCTTTGATTCTTATTCATGATATTTATTAGTTTTGTTTTTGATACTTTAAAACCATAAATACCTTTTATTTATGTTTTATACCTTTTTTTTTTTTATCTTTATATTTTTTGTTATCTAGTAACTCAAAAATTATGATTTACATGTGATTTTTTATATGTAAAGTCTAAATAGATATTTGGTTTTATATAAAAATAAATATCAAATAAAAAAATTATAAATTGCATGCTTCTAAATACATTTTAATACAGAAACTATTTACACTTAATGTCTTTTTTCTATCAAAAAAATCTATAAAGTTGTAAAAACATATAAAACTTGCACATGCAATCCTTTTATTTTTTCATGTAAGATTGATTTATGTATATAATTTCATACGAGTAGCTTTATAATATCTACAAAAATTTACTTAATTTCTACTTAATTTTAAACTTTAATACCTAAAACAATGTATATATTGAATAAAGATAAGAAAACTCATTATATATTTAGAATTAATTACTGCTTATTAAATTATTTTTTATTGTTTTAAATTTTTTTCAAGGTGCTAATAAGATATATAGCTTAAAAATCAATATACATTTTAAAATTTTGATTTAAAAATGACAAAATATTATAAAATTGATGATGGATTAGTTTAGTTTTTGATACAATAATAATAATTAAATTATTTATATTCAATTTAGATTTCAAAAGAACATAACTAAGTACTACTATTTTTTTTTAAAAAAAAAAAAAAAAAAAAAAAAAAAAACATATTTTTAATCTTTAAAAAAACTCTTTAAGATTAAACATAAAGATTAGAAAATAATTTAGTTTTAGTACATATTTATACATAATAAAATGTGTATATATATGCATATATATCATTTTAGAAAATATTGATGATAATAATTTAGCAGGGTTGTTTTTAATAAATTTTGATTTTTTTATAGTATTCATCTCGGTATATCTCAAAAAATACTAGTATTACTTTTGGGATATGCTTTACTTAGAAGTTATTTTTTTACATTAATTATATTTAATATTTAAACCTAATGAATTTAATTTCTTCTAATCACTTTGAACGATTAATTTAAATAGTAAAAACATTATTTATAAAATTAAGTATTAGTTTACTGTCTAGAATATCTTTTAAAATTTATAAGGTATTATTTAAAAAATATAATAGTAGTACCTATTGAATTTAACATTCATATAGTAAAATCCTACTTACTTTGTTGGATTTTATAAAAAGATTTTATTACTTAATTTTATCTCAACACTCAATTTTATATCTTATTTTGCTTTTAATGGTTGTTTGCTATAGGAATATTAATCTTATTATAGCATTAATACTCTTACAAATCCTAATTGTTTCTTTTATATATTAGTGACAATAAAAGGAGACACTATAATATTTTAGATATAAACCTCAAGTTTAGAGTTTGAGTATAATTTTGGAGCATTTCAGTATAAATAAAGAGAATTTTTGCATTTCTTTTTTCTATGATATTATATCTACTTAATTTTAGTTTTTGAAAATTAAAATTTTAATGAATTAATGCATGGTTCATAAAGTGTAATATTCATAAAAATTTGTGTATTCATATTCGATGAGATTAATAAACTAAATACCAAAAACATATATAAATATATAAGTATAATTTAAATATGATATTATTCTACTTTGGACTTAAAATTAAATTAGTTTCTATGTACAATAACACCACTAATTCACATTTGATTATACTATCACATTTGATAAAGTACTACCACATGCAAAAATGTGACTATGTTTATTTATTAGTACAACATGTACTTAAAAAAAATTGAACGAATATTAAAAATAAAAATAATTATGGAATAATTTTCATAATTAAATAAATTTCTCTTTAATTCTATACTCTATTTAAATCTGCTAACTGTTTAAAATATATTAGTATATAACTCCTAATAAAAATCTGATTTATGTTAAGTAACATCAATGCTTTTAATTAGTCAATTCTAATTATGAAAGAGTAATGTAATTATGTATAATTTTTACCCTGTAATTAACAATATGTAATTAATTTTAATTCTAAATTTAAATAATTTTTAAATATAAATCAAAAGTATTTTTATCATATTTTAAAAGTATTTGATACATTTCTTTAATATAAAATTCACTGACCTAAATTATTATGCACAAAACTAAAAACAAGATAGAAAAACAATAAGTAATTATGGTGCAATTTATGTAAAAACTAATATTATAAAAAAAATCATTTGTATGTGGTAGTACTATATCAAATGTGAAAGTATAATAGAGAATTATATATTTATGAAACTTGCATTGTCATTTTGTAAGATAAATGAAAAATTAAGTTTGAAATCTAAGTTTTTGTTATAAAAGATTTAATTCAAAAAAACCATAATAATTATAGGAATGTATATTATTAGAGTTCAAAGCTAACATTATCAAATATATTGAATTCAGATTTGGAATTTTTGAACAAGTTTTCAAATTTTAAGAATGTCGAAAAATCTTCAGCTTTATAAAATTTCAAGACGAGATACAAGTTTATTATAGATAATTTCTAAAATTATTGAAATTTTTATTATTGAAATTTATATCTTCTATTTTATTATCTATGAGGCATTATTCAATAAAAGCAAACATATATATATATATATATATATATATATATACATGTATATGTATATATAGATGTTGAAAATCATTCCTACTTTATTTTGTGTATTATATGCTTAATAAACATTACATTATTTAATAACTATTTTTGATTAATACAAGTAC